CAGAACCCTATAAGTTCTAGGAATGTAATCTGAAAGGTCTGGTAAAGTTCTGCAAATTGCAAAACAAGTTCTTTAAGAACTTATAAGGTATAGAAAAATAATGTTAAAGTTTATAAAGCTATTGTGTTATTTCTAGGAAAGGAACACCTAAAGTGCATAAAGCAGTCTGCACAGTTTAGACATTGAACTTTCAACTAAGAAACCAGTAAAATTGAAAGTTGAAAATGAGTAAATAAGCAATGTGTATTTTAACTGACTCTGTTGTGCACCATTTCAACAATTTCAAAAATGTATAACCTTTAACAAACCTGATGCATTTTAGCCCAATTTTAGCTTGAAACATTGTTTTAATGGGTGGCAATTATAAAAAAAAAATTATCTGAAATTTGCTACGTAAAAGCAATATGGACTGAAATGCTAACAATTATTTGTTCTCTGATTGTCATAAAGACTGAACAGAAAGTGTTGACATTGTCGTCTCACACACACACACACACACACACACACACACACACACTATATCTTTATTTTAATTTGAGCAGAGTGGAATTGAGTGCTACTATTGACCATCTAAAAACTTCTCTGTCAATTTATTAGAGTCTTTCACACTCAAACATGATATGCACCTGTATTCACTTACCAAGTCCACGCAGACACAGACATGCATGCACTCAGTTCAAATAGTTGGCCTAGGGTTCAGGAAGACATGAGAGCCAAGAGGAGCTGCTGACACAAGCAGCTACTGTGATTACCTCACGTCTGTCATGGCTCTGAAAGGAAACCCATCCTGAGTATATTTAGACAAAGACAAGCTTCAAAAGATGGAATAATGAATAATGCTGGGCTAATAAATAATACTGTGTAGCCTTGCAAAAGTATTTATACTGTCTATTTTTGTTTTTTTTTTTCATATTTTGTTATGAAAACTGCAATGCTTAACAGCCATTTATTCAGATTTTATTTTCCAGAAGTTGTGCAATATTGTTGAGTGACTCACTTTTCATTTGCTCTGCGTCCCCAATAGCTATGCATGTCGAAACTAATTGTTTTGATTATTCTTCGTTTCAGTTCAATCAGGTGGGACGGGGAGGGACTGTTGACAGCAATGTCCATCTGCGGTCACAGATTTTCAATTAAATGTGGTTCTGGACTTTGACTAGGTCTTTGTGGCAAATGAATAACCTTTCATCTAAACCAGGCTACAGTGCCACTATAGCATCGCTTAGATAAAAATAGATCCTTAGGGTTGACCTGCCGCTGGGAGGTGAACCTCGGCCTCATCTATTTTGCTATAACAAGTTTATTTTAAAGCATTATTCTTTATTTAGTTCGTTAGAATGTCTTACCATCATTTTTTTTCCATGCCCTTCACATCCTAAGATGTTAGACTGAAGAGAGTTGGGTGATATGGATTGTTTTAACCCTCTCTTCTCTGATATTGGTATTAATAATACTTTTTCTTCATTGACGTTCACAAACATACACAAATTCATTCCCTACCTTCCAGATTTTTATAAACTCATTTTGAAAGTTGTGCACTATGTAACTATGCACTATTTTGTGTTTGTTTAGTAAATGAACTTAAACTAAAAATACATCAAGGCTTGTTGTTGTAATGATAAAGTTTTGAAAAACAAGGCGGTACGCTGGGGCGGACTTCAGAACGGGCGTACTGGGGCAGTAGGTCGGGCAAAGATTTGTCTTCTTTTTGTTCATCATTTTGCAAACATATTCTAAATAAATCTAATTCATGTGAGTTGCAATATTTTAGGATTTTTATGAATATGAACTCAATTTCTTGGGCAACAACATGGACAGATGATTGTTGGCTAGAGGACCAGTTAAACCTGCAATGCATCAGTTCATGTCTGCTGATGTTCGGACTGCCTATTCATGTAATTTGCATAATAAAATATTTTTTCCTTAGTGGATAGGACCCTAAGACTTGCTTCCGCCCAGCGACCCACATCCTTGTAAATCCGACTCTGGTAGTGAGGAAAAAATGAAAACAAGAGGTCTAAGATGCCTGTAATTTTAAGAATAACGGATTAATGATGCTAATACCATAACACAAAAATGTCTCCACTTGATGTTGCAACAAGCAGTTTTACTTTTAGTAGTTAATCTTTACCAACGAAAATGGCAGGCGAGATGAGTGACTTAGCAGTATTTTATCACTGAGGGGGTCTCCTGCCTTCATAGGTTGAGCCATTAATAACGATGGGAGGCTCCTCACTGTCAGCAGTCCTTCATCCTGCCAGCGTTGTGGCACGCCTCCCTCAGGCTTCATTAGGACATTCTGCCGCACAGCTAAGTCCACCCTAAATCCCTCCACGTAGCTTTCCTTTACACAAATACGATGACAGAGAAAGCAACACACTCGTGTCAAACAAATGGCAGCGGTGAACGCTTCCTAAAGCGGAGGAATGTCACGGCGAATGCATTTTAAACAATTACGCTCCTCACATTTGTTCGGGCTGAATTTAGAGTCACGTGTCCGCACTTGTTTGTTGTTGTACGTTTCCGTGGATACAGTCTTGATCTGACGTGGCTGCGTGACCCAGACAGACATTTGCCGCGTGCTATATGCTAACACACGAGCAGCAGGTGGCACCGAGTCCAGAAACTTGATATTTGACTTTAAATCCTCCTCTTTTGTTCGACAAAAATCACGCCCCTCTGATATCTCTGTGAACTGTAATCCTCTGAGAGCGAAAGGGTTCTCGTTTTCTTCATAGCGGGTTTAGAGCTGGTGCACGTTAATTCAAACCATCCGTTTTGCGTTTGTTGCGCTGATTAGCATCCCCCTCTCCCTCCGAGCTATTCTTGGAGTCATTGTTTAGCCTACAACTGTTATGAAATGACTGCAATTGAAAACAGCTGGTTATAATTAGATCACAGGGGTTTACAGTCTATAACTGGGCCACATCGTCTAAAGCTTGAGTCATTCACTTTGTGTGGGAAAAACTGAAATCAAGAAAGATAAGTTTAAATGTACTTTTAATCCAACACTGGTCCTTTTTCAGGAACTTCACCTGATCTAAGATCTCATTTTGCAGTGAATGTATTCTTCTCTACCATGAGAAACACCGAGGCCACTTGTATTGCAGGTTGTCGCTGCATTCAAAGTACTAGACCTTAAAGTGCAGCTAAGGATGGATGTTATTTTGGCTGTGGCTTTGTGAAGGCGCTATCCACTCCCACTACTCAGGTGTCAGTGAAGCCAGCACTTTCCACTGGCTGCGTCCAGGATGGCCACTGGCTTTATCCGAGCATTCGGGGTCTTTTGCCTCATCAATTCCAGGGCACATCTAGCAGGAGTTGCAAGAGAGGAGAAACAACGTCATTCTGCTTCACGAGTTGTATGTGTTTGGTTATCAGGATACCTGTCAAGTCTCCCGTTTTGGCTGGGAAACTACCGTATTTTACCACTCTGTCCTCTATTAGTATTCTCCCATAAATGTCCCATAGTAGAGTAATTACGTCGCAATCCACCCCCCGTTCTTACGGTAGTCGCTAGTTTTCTTCCTACCCTTTCTTAAGGTAGTCTTCTTCCCATAATTCCCCCCAAAACCGCCTTCAGGGCTTACGATAACACTTACCCCACATGCCCCATCCTCCACCCATCCACCTCGGACAGATAAATATTTCACGTATTCTTAAGTCCAGAAATTGACAGGTATAGGAAGGGGCGCTGTGACTCAAAGTAGATCCAGTCTGAGTCCTGGAGGTTCCCAGTGAGACAAGAATAACCTCCTGACTTCATGAATGAAGGACTTGCAGGGATCAAGACTTTGTTCCTGGGCTGAAAACAACCTGGGCCTTCAGTAAGAAATACAGTGCTTTGCAAAAGTCTTCACACTCCCTAAACATTTTTTTGATTTCTTTTTTCACAGGCGCAAACTTCCATCTGTATTTTAGGTCAACACGAAGTTGTCTAATCGGATTGCCGCTGATTCAAAATTCACTTTTTGACTTTGAGAAAAGGGAATTTGTGGAATTTAATCTCAGGCCTTAGAGGTTTGGTAAAAAGTCTGTTCAAGTACCGAGTAACTGATCAAAACTCATACATTAAAAAAAATACTTTTAGGAGTATTTTTACTACACTGTACTTTTCATTTTTACTTCAATAATTTTATTATGAAGCATTGTTACTCTTACTAGAGGAAAAATTGTGGGTACTGAAAGAATAACCTTATTATAACCAAAAATTCACAGACACGCACCTGCAGTTGTTATATGGAAAGAAATTGATTTGGAAAAATGTTTCTTTTGCCTTTTTTTTTAGCCATCTTGTAATTATTATTTATATGGATTATTTTAATTTTCATGTATAAAATATAAAACTTTCCATGTAACTTTTACATTTTGGTCCATTTGATAATGTAATGTGGAAGAAGGTGTTCTGGTCTAGTCCAAGCCTCAGTCTACATGCGAAACACTACGTGGTGGGGAAACCAAAGTGTTGATGGGAAGACTGATGAAGCTAAAAGCAGAGTATTTTTAGGAGAAAACCTGCTAAAGGCTGCAAAAAAAACAAACAAACAAAACAAAACATAAAACTGGGTCTAAGGTTCACCTTTCAGCAGACCAACAATGCTAAACACAGGTACGAAGGAATGGTTTAGGTCAAAGAGCTTTCTCATGTTAGAACGGCCTAGTCAAAGTTCAGAGCTAACAAGAGTCTATAAATTTCAACATTAATGTTTACAGAGGCTCTCCATCTAATTTGACTGAGCTTGAGCTATTTTTTAAATTTCAATAGGAAAAAGAAAAAAAACTGAAACAATGTTTTAAAAAGCCATGGAGGGCTTTATTAATTTTTCATGATTTTTATTTTCTAGCTTGTGTTTGTTAAACAAGCTGAAGATAATTCCTGCTTTTTGGAAGTATCTTGACAATACATGGATATAAATACTTTTGCAAGGAACTGTAAACCAGATGATTTTAAAGCAAGGCCCTGTAAAGAAACCGCAAAATAATTTGGAAAATTGTAATCAGTAAAAAAGAAAAAAAAAAGCATCCCGATGGATTCTCTGAAATGAGACAGTATGAGAGGGACAGCAGCAGCAGCAGCAGCACCAAGTGTCACCCGGTCCGCCAACATGGGGAGGGCTCTGGAGTTTAAAACGGTGTGAATATGATAGCCCATCTGGAGCCTCTGGTCCTGCTTATGCAAGTGGAGATCTCCGTGCACGATTGAAAGTTGTCAGTTCGGAGGCACTAAACTGACAAGACGTCGGTTTAAGTAAACAACAGACAACGTCTTTTGGATATCCTCAAACAAGTCGATTGGAGAGGAAAGTAAAAAAAATGAGAGCCTGATTTTATCTTGCAGTGGAGGCCCCGCAGGAGAGATAGGGTTTTGGAGGACAAAATAAAAATCAGGCACCGGGGAGGTGAGTGGCGGATTTACCCTCAGAGGGGGTAAAAACAACAACAACAACAACAAAACCAAAACATGACTGTGGTGTCCCAGGACAATAAAGAAGAGGCTGTGACGGTCACCCTTTTGTTACAAGATGCTGCTGACTTGGAACCGGCGGACCAGGAGTGCAGCGAGAGGGTGGTCATCAACGTATCGGGCCTGCGCTTCGAGACGCAGCTGAAAACCCTGTCGCGCTTTCCGGGGACGCTCCTCGGGGATCCGCGCAAAAGGACGCGCTTCTTCGACCCGCTGAGGAACGAGTACTTCTTCGACAGGAACAGACCGAGCTTTGACGCCATTCTCTATTATTACCAATCGGGAGGACGGCTCAGGAGGCCCGTGGGTGTACCTGTGGACATTTTCCTGGAGGAATTAAAGTTTTACGAACTCGGGGAGGAAGTCATAGAGCTGTACAAAGACGACGAGGGCTTGCCGAGAGAGGAGGAGCGGCCGCTGCCGACCAACGAGTTCCAGCGGCAGCTCTGGCTCCTGTTCGAGTACCCGGAGAGCTCGGGACCCGCGCGGTCCATCGCCATCGTGTCCGTTATGGTTATTTTGATATCCATCATCATATTCTGCTTGGAGACTTTACCGGAGTTCAGAGAGGTGCCCCCCGAGCCAGAGCAGCACGCCAACGGAAGCGCAGACAGCACTGCGCCGAGCCCCTTCACAGATCCCTTCTTCATGGTGGAGACGCTTTGCATCGTGTGGTTCTCCTTTGAGTTCACCATGAGGTTCCTGTCCTGTCCCAGCAAAGCGGCCTTCTTCAAGAACATCATGAACCTGATAGACGTGGTGGCCATCGCGCCCTACTTCATCACCCTGGGCCTGGATCTGGCGGAGCATGAGGGCAGCAGTCAGCAGGCGGCCTCCCTGGCCATCCTGAGGGTCATCAGGCTGGTGCGCGTCTTCCGGATCTTCAAGCTCTCCAGACACTCCAAAGGCCTGCAGATCCTGGGCCAGACTCTCCACGCCAGCCTCAGGGAGCTAGGGTTGCTCATATTCTTCCTGCTCATTGGGATTATTTTGTTCTCCAGCTCGGTGTATTTCGCCGAAGTGGAGGACCCCGAGTCGACGTTTTCGAGCATACCGGACGCGTTCTGGTGGGCCGTGGTGACGATGACCACGGTGGGCTACGGAGACATGTATCCCTCCACCATCGGGGGGAAATTCGTTGGTTCCCTGTGCGCAATCGCCGGAGTGCTGACCATAGCCCTACCTGTTCCCGTCATCGTGTCGAATTTCAATTATTTCTACCACAGAGAGAACGAAGAAGAGGAAAATGTGCAGTACATCCATGTGACCTGCGGGCAGCCGGAGCAACAGTGCTCCTTTGGGGAGACGGATTCCACAAAAAGTAACCAGTCCCTCTCCAAAACCGAGTCCTATCAGGGGAGCGACGACCTTGAGGTCCTGACTCATCCAAACGCGACTCAGCCGGGGGCTTACACAGGAAAGCTGACGGATGTGTAAACAAGACAAGTTTTTGTTTCTGGTGAGTTTTAGTTGGGGTGGTGGTGGTGGGGGGGATGATGCACGGCCGGTCCAAGGTTTTATGAGGCCCGAGGGAGAGTTTCATGTGGGAGTTCCCATTACAGACTCCGAAAACACGTAGACTTTGCCAGATCCGTTTTACTGGGGCACATGTGGCAGCATTTGTCTTCCTTAATCAAATATCAACAAAAGAGCAACTTTATGAAATTACAAGAGATTACAGCTACTTGGATGTAAAATAGAAAGGAAGAAAAAAAAGAGAGAATAAATTAGGTATTTTAGTTTGCAAATCAGAATGCACTGTGAAGCCACTTGTGCATCTTTAAAATCGTCTACAAAAGTTCAGGATGTCTTAGAAATATTGCATAAACTCAGCTCAACTCAGTCACTTTATTAGGTACACCGATTGGGCGAGTTTTGCCTTCAGCACTACTTTCATTTTTAGAGATTCAACAAGATGTTGAAAACATTCCTCAGACATTTTAGTCCTTACTGATATGAGGACATCCATGAGTTGCTGCAGATTTTGTGGCTGGGCATCTCAGAGATGTTACCTGGTGTGTCTGGAGGCCAGTGGATACAAGGTGAACTCCGTAATAATAATACTAAGGTAGGCTGTGGCCTTTAAATTATTCTCAGTTTGTACTAAGAGCGACATTTTGCCACCAGCAGCAGCCCGAACAGCTGACATAAGGCAGTATGGACAGTTACTTTCTGTTTGTGCCAAATTCTGACCCAATCGTCTTGATTGTTGCAGCTGAAACCAAAACTCATCAGACTAGGCAATGTTTATCCAATCTATTGTTTTCCCATTGTCCTGAGCATGTGGAAACTGTTGCCTCGGTTACCGTGTTCACAGCTGACAGGAAACACACCTAGCATGTCCTTCTGCTGCCGTATCACATCTGCTTCCAGGTTCAGAGGTGATAATCTGCATGTGTTGGTTGACCAGGTTATTTTACTTCTCAATATTTTTTAGACAGCCTAATAAAAACCAATGTTGTCAATTACAAATATAAAACAACAAAAAAATTCTAGTTTTGAAGCATATTGCAAATGTGAAACCACACTCTTTTATTGGTGCATCTTTATTATTTTAAAAAAAAAAAAAAAAAAAAGTAATTGTAATTTTTGGCCTAAATGTTTGTGATTTAATGGTGGGGCCATGAATGAGTTAAAGAGATTTAGAAAGAAATGCTTTTTTAAAAAATAAAAGGCGAATACTGGTATAAATAAACATATAAATAAAATACATAAGTAAATATTGTGACTCATATTGTTGTCTTTTGCTCCCTTATGCATAGAAGCTTGTCTGACCAGAAGAGAAATACTTAATTTTTAAATGTGGCGATTCTCCAACCTCACATTCTGCATTTAAAATGATTGTATTCAAGTTTAAAAAAAACAAACAAAACAAAAACACTCACCCGTTCTCGCTCGAGTAACTTCTCCCCCTTTCCCACACAGTGGGGTTATTGTTAGAGGAACTACATGACATCATGACAGCACATATAAATAAGCGCGCCATTTTTGGCACATAGTGCGTGTCATGTCTGTGCCTTTAAGCTTTTCTGGTGTCATTTTACAGTGTTGAGTATCAGGCGGGCCATTTTAAGGCGTTAGAATGACGTTCAGAAAGGTTTCAGGGTGGGGCAAGGCTTTAGGGTGGCCGTCCTTCCTCGAGACAGCAACGTGAAATATTAACATGAAAAGAAAAAAAAGGAAAAGAGTGTTTACGAAACCAAATTATGAGAACCAGACTAGTGCGGGGGGAAAAGTAAAAGCGGAAAATAAACGAATAAAAAATGGATTACTGCTAGCTAAAACGGCATTAATACTTATTATCCGTTGCTGAAAGTTAGGCAAAAACTATTTTTGTTAAAGGAAGGAATTCAGCTGCGCATTACTCACAAACATGGAAACACAGACGGGCAAACACATACACACACAGTTGTGTTTTCATCACTTGTGGGGATTTCACATTGACTTCCATTAATTTCTACAACTTAACCCTTACCATAACCTTTACCATAATCCTAACCATCACAGACCTAACTACTAACCCAAAAATAACAATTTCCCTCATGGGGACCAAGAAAATGTCCCCACAAGGAGCAACGGTCCCCATAACCCCACATTGTAGATAGAAATAGGTTCCCATAAGGATATAAAAACCTGGTACACACACACACTCAGACACACACACTCTACAATGCCAGTGTTGTGTCCTAACGCTGGCATTGTAGTGTTCACGGCTTATTGGTTTGAGGCCTGCATGGGACTGCAGCTCCCTTGCAGGTTACAGTTTGTCGTTTTCCCCTGCACGTCTTCCAGCGTCATCATTCTCCCACGTGTGGCGCGTTCGCCTGTGCAGCATCAAAGGCTTCTAACTTTAGGATGGTGTGAAAGTGTTACAATTTTTCTGACGATGTTTTTGAAGCACGATCATCACATCTAATTCACCCAACCTTAAGAAAATGTATTATTTATTTAACTTTTAAACATTTTTTTTATGTAAAATGTTCTCCAAACTTTTTATGCATCTGGCTGACAACATAAAACCCTTGCAACGCCACATGGACATATTTACCCCAAAACAAACAGTAGATTGGTTTATCGATTACAGCATCAAGCCAGTGACATGAAAGTAAATACTGCTTGCAACCCTGACCTGTCACTGACTTGTGTTACACCAACATTTATAATCAAAGAAAACAAAAGAATACAAATTATCATTAATCAAATTAGCTTTAAATATCTTGTCTGTCAAATGCCATGATTTCAGATAAATGTCAACTTTTTTTTTTTTGTATAATCAGAGTTTCACTGATATTTCCCAACATTTTATGGATATCGCTAGAGATCTTGCAGTGCGCAGCCATAACCCGACCAGTGCTGTTCATATAAGTAGTGCTTTAGCGCCACTGTGTGGCCGAATGATGCATCTGCAAGTAGCAGAAAAAACTCTTGAACATCTTTGCACTGTGAAGCGTTGACTGATTGAATCGCCTGTGTTAGAGACGATCCGCATTGATCTGGAAATTATCTGTCATCAATGCAAAGTTAATTTAATAAACTTTTGCTTATTTGCAGGAGACAGAAGACTAAACGAAGCTTTTTTTCTTCCTTCAGTGACAAGATTTACGTGTGGCATTCTCTTCGAAATCTCATGGATTTTATTTTTTAATTTGAACTTTTGTGCACTGCAGAGACTTTAAAGTGGACGATCATGGAAAAAAAAAAAAAAAGCTCCTGTCAGTTGTCATAAAGAAAAAAGCTCCTGTCAGTTGTCATAAAGATCATGTGCATTATTTGTGTAAAATAAAACTATGTTGTTTTGGCATTGTAAATTAATTTATATGAAAATTCTAATGTTATTTTTTGTAATTTTGTAATTTTCAAATGTCACTTTCTTATGCTTACAATGCAACGTATACCTTGATATTTTTTTATTTCTATTTTTTGTAGGTTTTTGTTGTTTTGCAACCAGCTTTAAACAAAAAACTAAACAAAAAACAGTGCCAACATGCATGGCATGCATTCACTGTAACTTTTTAAATGTAATAAAAGACATATATTTTTCTAAGTTAAGCACAGATTCAAATGTATATCATGTGTTTTTTTAAAGGAATTACTGTGAGTAGGATATCATCATGCCGCTAGTTTTATTATTTCTACCGATGCATCAGAGTCTGAACAAGAACCTGGCATACAGATCCATTTGAACACGTTGTAAAAGGTTCATTTACTCCAGTAATTCAACACAGAAAGTGAAACTCACATAGATTTATTACAAGAAGTGACGTATTTCTCTTCATTCGCATAATTATGACTTACAATTTACAAAATCTGATATATTCTAGAAGCCCAGCTCACTTTAATAGTGAACTTCAGTTTGTCTTTGCTGTTGGCCCTGGTGTCTCTCGTCTTCTCTGCGCATTCTCTATGCTGTCAGGTCAGTTTTTGGGACAATCAACCTCAGTGAATTCCTGGTTAAAGCAGATGTTGGTACTTCCTGCAGTTTGGGTCGGTTCAAGTTTTGCTGGAAAAAAAAAAAAAATCTGTATCTCCATTAATCATAAAAAGGACTTGTCATTAATTTCCTGCCTGATGACTGAGCTGACTTTGGGCCTGTGGAAACGAACCAGCAGCAGATGACATGACTCACTAAACCAGCAAAAACTCCCCGCTGGACCTCAACCAATTTGAATTTTGTTCCTCTCCATTCTTCACCTGCAGTGAAGTACCTTGATCTCCAAAATAAATGCAAAATACACTTAATATGAAAAGAGCACTAAGGTTAAGAAGTGCCACAGTTTTCCCTGTTATTGAGTGACTCACACCAAATATTTCTGCATTGAAGATACTTTTATTGGCTTTATTCAATAACTTTCTGAGAAGCTGAATTGTGGGTTAGCTGTAAGTCACGAGCCTCTCTGTGAAATTAAATAAGTGAATAGAAAATATCAAGTTGTGTAAATCGATTTAAAAGATAAAAATTACTTTTGGTCTCAATTACTGAAATAAATTAACGTTTTGATGCTGCTCAAACTGACTGAGATGCATCTGTATAAAGTAAATGTTTGTAACATCGTTGGTGTCAAATGATAGAAAAAAAACAAAAGAGGAATCATTTGATTTGCATTACTTTAATAATAATAATTTTAAAAAAGCCCTCAGTGTGACGTCATATAGTGTCAAGTGGACATATTTTAGCAAAATGATCCAAAGTTTGAGGCTGGATTTTTTGTTTGTTTGTTTGTTTTACAGCTTCGTTTAGAAAGTTTTGAGTCAGATTTATCTGGGGAACATTTTTTGGTTTTCTGAGCAGCAGCCATGATTTTCGCTCTCCGTGGTGCTGAAAGTCTTGTGTCCTCTGCAGAGCGTTTTTCTTTATCTCTTCACGAGGAATGCAACAATATTCTTTCGTTTAAAAACAAACAAACAAACAAACAAACAAACAAACAAACAAGCAAACACTGCTATGCTTCAGTCAGCATCAACTAAAACAACAACTATGTATGAATGTCAGCTGCAACATCGGCACAGCCAATCAGGACGTTTTATTCCTTCTGACCAGCTTTCTCCGAGCACAGATCTAAATCCGAGCTGTCAGACTTCCGAGACTTTTGCGATGATCTGTGTGTGCTTGCAGTCTGCAGTGCTGGCACACAGGCGCTCCTGTTTTTGTGCTGTGTGGAGAACTTCTGGCGGCGTCCTTTAGTGGAGCCGGTCTGCATTGCGTCGAAACCCTCCAACTCCTCCCCTCCTTCCTCCTTCCCTCCCCCCCACCCCCTCACCCCCTTGCTTCCTCTTGTACTTGCATGTTAAATGATCAAGCCAAACATGCTTGACATTGCTGAGAAACCGTGCGGACGTCGATGCCGCGCTCGTCTGTTTCTCAGCTCTCATTTTTAATTGTGTGTGTGTTTTTTATTCCTTTCTTTAAAAAAAAAAAAAAAAATCGTGTTCACCGTCCTGCGCCGGAGCACATCCTGCCCGTCATCTCGTCTTGTGGCAGATTTCTGCTGATGCAGGGATGTCTGGGAATGCCAAGAGCTCGCTTATTGCCCCTTAATGCATCTCTCTCCGAACTGCAGCGCAACATCTCCTCCTGCGGTTTGCTCATATGCTGTTTGCTCTGCTCACCACCGTGCCGCTGCCAAAGCAACCTTGGAGCTTTGCAGCATAGCAGTTCCCCTCTTTTCGCTCTTTTATTTTTTTATTTTTATTTTTTTTACATTTTTTCCACCGCCTCTGGTCTTTAAATTACACATCTTTCCTCTTCGACTCGTCTTATTTTAAGAGTGCAGCTTAGATGACGCGCACTCCCGGGTGCAACTTAAAAGTTTCACACCTTAAAAGCGTCTTCTGCTGCTGCTGCTGCTGCTCTGCTGTTGGATGATTCTGCTCGAAGCTGTTCAGGACCTCTCAAGATCACACCACGGTAAGCCTCTTAAACTGAATACAAAAGTTTATGTAGAGCTTTAGAGCTGTTTTGTTTCCCAAACCCCCCCAACCCTGCAAGACTAACACACTGCTGCAGTGCTGTGCCCCTTGCTTTATCCATTTGCAAATTGCCACTAGCTTTGTAGGGTTAAAGGCATGCAGAAACTATACAAAAAAAAAAGAAAAGAAAAGGCTATGCGTCACAGTCTAACTCAGACTGGTGAGTGTGGCAGAGCATAAATCGCTGCCTTAAGACAAGCTAAGACCAACATTTTTGCAGAGACATGATGTGACATGAGGACAATGCTACCTCTCCAACCAAAACAACAACAAGGAGTTTTTTTGTTTTGGCTTGAAAACCTTAGAGAATCGAAGGACAGACACTCCGAAGTTGCACATAGAGCTAAAAATGTTTTTCCCCTCTTTGAAACAGGATTGAGAAATTCTTGTTGAATGAGATGTGTTTGCCATCATTACTAACTGCTCTAATTACAGCCCCCAGGGAAGAAGATGACTAAATAAATAAATAAATAAACTGCAGAAAGTGCTGAGCCAGCAAAATATCTCGGCTGTTTGATTCCATTATCCCCTCCGTCCCTCCCTCCATCCCTCCCTCCTTCTCTCTTTGGTTGACAGAAGCAGCAGCAGCGACTGCTTCACATGCACTGGGGAGCTGCAATGGTCAAGTCAGCGAGAGCCGCAGTGGAGCCGCACTGAGGCAAAGCAGCCAACCGCCCCCCCCACTCGCAACTGGGGACGCCTCCAACGATCTGTGGGGTGTGGGAAGCTGAGGAGTGGAAATATTTCTCCCAACCGTGAATGCCCGGCCAGTCAGACTAACCGACACCCCTCCACGATTCCTGCTCCGTCTCTTGCTCCGCCGCGTCCTCCTCCACCTCTTTCCCCCCGAAAATGACCGTTGTAGCGGGGGACAACATGGACGAGACCTCAGCCGTCCCGGGACACCCTCAGGACACCTACCCCCCGGATCACAATGACCACGAGTGTTGCGAGAGGGTGGTCATCAACATAGCTGGCCTCCGGTTCGAGACGCAGCTGAAAACTCTGTCACAGTTCCCAGAGACTTTGCTTGGTAACCCCAAAAAGCGGATGCGGTACTTTGATCCCCTGAGAAACGAGTACTTCTTTGACAGGAACCGGCCCAGCTTCGATGCAATCTTGTACTACTACCAGTCAGGGGGCCGGCTAAGAAGGCCGGTAAACGTGCCCTTGGATATGTTCTCAGAAGAAATTAAATTTTATGAGCTGGGAGTGGACGCGATGGAGAGGTTTCGTGAGGATGAGGGTTTCATCCGAGAGGAAGAGCGTCCGCTGCCTGAGAAGGAGTTCCAGCGTCAGATCTGGCTTCTTTTTGAGCATCCAGAAAGCTCAGGCACCGCAAGAGGGATCGCCATTGTGTCTGTGATGGTGATCCTCATTTCCATTGTCATATTTTGTTTGGAGACTCTACCACAGCTAAAAGAAGACCCGATGGGTCGAATCGAGACATTCGGGAACATTACAATACGCTACAAACCAAATATTCTTACTGACCCCTTTTTTGTCATTGAGACTCTCTGTATCATCTGGTTTTCATTTGAGTTGATAGTGCGCTTCATGGCATGCCCCAGCAAACCGGCCTTCTTCAAGAACATGATGAACACGATTGACATTGTGGCCATTATCCCTTATTTCATTACACTTGGCACTGAGTTGGCAGAAGACCCAGAAAACGAAGGGGTGGGGGAGCAAGCGACTTCTCTGGCCATTCTCAGGGTGATCCGTCTGGTCAGGGTGTTTCGGATCTTCAAGCTGTCGAGACACTCCAAGGGACTTCAGATCCTGGGGCAGACCCTTAAGGCCAGCATGCGAGAGTTGGGATTGCTGATCTTCTTCCTGTTCATTGGAGTCATCCTATTCTCCAGCGCCGTCTTCTTCGCCGAAGCCGAGGAGCCGGATTCTCAATTCAGCAGCATCCCGGACGCCTTCTGGTGGGCCGTCGTGTCCATGACAACTGTGGGTTACGGGGACATGGTCCCAGTCACTATCGGAGGCAAGATTGTTGGATCTCTGTGCGCGATCGCTGGAGTCTTAACAATTGCCCTCCCAGTGCCTGTCATTGTATCCAACTTCAACTACTTCTACCACAGAGAGACGGAGGGAGAGGAGCAGGCCCAGCTTCTCAATGTCAGCAACCCCAACATCCCGTCCGAAACCAACTCCAGCCGCCGTAGCTCCTCCACCGTCAGCAAGTCAGAGTACATGGAGATTGACGGAGACATCAACAATAGCATCGACAACTTTAGGGAGGCGAACCTTAGAACTGGAAATTGCACTATCGCCACTCAGAACTGTGTGAACAAAAGCAAGCTGCTCACAGATGTTTAGGCATCAGCTAGGAACTCTCGGTCGTTCGTGTCACACGGGGAGTAGACCATCTGATAGGAATGCTTCATTTAGCTCCCAGAGCGCTCTACCGGCATTAGGCCTACAACTATCCTCAGCTGAAAAAAAAAGAAAAGAAAAGAAAAAGAAACACAGTTGTTACAGTATATACTGATGTAGATAGAATAATTAATTTTACTGATCCAATAACTATAATGTTAAAAAAACATTGATTACTACACATATACACAGCTCCTTAGAGGACACAGAGCACACCTTGTCTTGTCAGATGACGGTGTGATAACTAAAAATCTTATGCATGCACTACAGATAACTGATCAGCAAGCTGCACAATGCACCAGAAATGACTGCAGACATTCAAGCCTCTAAGCCAGGTGGTTTCCGCCAAGAAGGTAGATGACCCCCCCACAGCCCCTCAAACCCTTCGCCTCCCCGCTCCCACAACCCCTTTCCCCTTCTCCCCCTGCAAAGGATCTGCTACTCAGCAAAGCACCTTATAGTAGGAAGACTGCTCTTCTCTCTTGTTTTTGGATGTAAACAGATGGTGAACTGCTTGCTTCACGGACATCTGCAATGCTGCTGTTCACGCAGCAGCTGCCGTAATTGTGTTATCACCAAGTGATCCGATGCCATGCCCTTTAGATGCATCACAGCACAACTTGTAAAAGTGAGCTTCATGCGAGCATGATTTTAGAGACTTTCCATTTGATACCGGCATGCATGAGGCATAATGTCACAAAGTAGGGGAAAGGATGTTCTTTTGGATGTCTGCCTCCATTTCCCACTTCTTCCCTATGTTGCCATATAGAGTGCACTGGTTGAGTTCTTTTTTCTTTTTAACTGCTAATCATTTAGAAGCATAGAAACTGAATGTTAACTCTTAAGGGAACAGTACATAAATGAGATCATAGCATGAAAAAAAAAGTAACTTGCATTATGGCCTAACCACTAAGGTACTTCTGTATCCTGGTATATTTAATGTACGATGTATACAGCATGATGTATACGGCTTGTTGCGGTTCATGCATTTCGCGGTTCCCCTGTCGTCAGGGGAAACTGAAGGAATCGAAAAATCTGGGTCTTTCTGAATTGTGATCAGATTTACAGAAATCCAACTTTTAGGCTGCGGAGTTTCTCATTTAAAAGTAGACGAAGAAAGTTACTAAGTAATATTGGAAAATGCATATAATCATTATAAGCACCAGTTACAGTATTAGTCAATAGAGGAGTGCATGGACCTTCTTTGAGAACAAAAACAGTTTATATATATTTTCAGTCATTTCTTTTTTTTTTCCTTTCTTCAACCATAAAGTTTAGTAGAGAAAAAAACAACAAAAAAACAACAAAGCGAGTCCACAGAAAAGAATCATGTTTCATAGACGTATTCTGAGATTAGTTTCCAGTGCCTTTTATCCCTTCCACCAACAGGATCAGTGAAAGTGCCTCAGTGTGCAAACGGTGTTTTTTTGGGTAGATCCGGTGTATATCAGTGTCAAACACTGTCGTTGTGTGATGTTAGCAAATGCTGGATGAAGTAAGGCTCACACAGCAAGGTGACTGTGGTACGTGCACAACCAAATGTTCGTGCTGGCATGCGTTTAATGATGCCATTAAGCAGCAATGGATTGTTCTCTGCATGTTTACCATATTCATTCAAAAAAAAAAAAAAAAAAGAAAGAGTCTTCATCCACTCCTGTTTTACTTCTTTGTGCACCGTGCATCCTTTCAGGGTTTCTACCTCAGCGAGGTCATTGCAAACTTGCGGAGCTGAAGGCTTCAATGCAGGGCTTCCAATACCTATACCTACACATGCACATACACTTACAAAATATATATATATATATATATATATAGTTAGATAACAGAAAATAGAACCTTAAGTGTAAACTGCAGTCATGCAATACTGAATGTGAGAGTCCCAAAGCAAAGCCTTTACACAAGCACTTACATGTATGGGAAAAGTAGGGTGTTGCAATCCTGCTCCTTTTTTTTTTTTTTTTCACTTAAAGCTGCGCACAATCAGCCCGTTCGTTTGTGTGGAGTTCGTTAAGAGACGGCGTGACTCTCTCTCCGCTGACTGTTGTAAGCGTAAGTTGTCTTTGAAACAGTGCCATGTCAAAGTGAAGTGTCGTCACAGGAGGAAACAGCTGAGTGTGTTTTGTGTAAAAGAAAAGCTGAGAGCTGTCATATTGCAGCAGCGGTCGTGGGGCATTGTAATGCACAGCAAAAAAAAAAAAAGAAAAAAAGAATGAGATCCATCTCTTTTGCACAACCGCTTCCTTCCATTGCTGAAAAAGAGAGAAACTCCCCCACCCCCTAAAAATATCGGTTTTGATTTGTTCTGTCACAGTGCTAGCTCACAGGAGAACAGCAAAGCAGATTTGGTACAAAATGTACTTGAAACTCTGTCCAGCTACTGTACACCAGTCTGCTCTCCATACTGGGAGGAGTTCATCCATGTAGTAGTAAGACTCCATGCTGTACTGTACTGTACTGTAACGCTCCTTCTTCTTATTTAACACTTTCCCGACAAAGATCCTTGGGAAAAAAAAAAAGCTGCACTGCAGTGCTACTCGAATGTCTTAGCTGTTTCTGCTGGTGCAGTGGCCATCCTTTGTGGTGCTAGTACAAGACTACCACTGTTGCGTTGTTCCCACAACACAACCTGAAGCAGAAAAGCAACGAATTACAATTTAAATGCCTTTTTTTTCCTTCTTTTTGGAAGCAGGAAGGTTGCTCGGTGTAAGGAAACTGTTGTTTTGTTTGAAACAGATCTTTGTACTGTACTTTTGAAGAGCATCCTCCTCAGGCAAAGTGAAAAGTCCTACTTATTACAAGTTTAAAACTGAAAAAAACAAAAAAACAATTTGTCTTTTCTTTGTAGATTAGGATGACGTATATATACCGAATAACATAGAATATACAAGGAAATTATATCAGCCTCAAATGCAGCTGCAAAGAAACTGTTTGCTGTCATCACATTTTTCAC